ATTGAAGCAAGTGGTAATGTCTAATTGATCAATAACAAAACAAAATACCATATGTACAAAATTAGAAGCGGTTACCATTGCTAGTGAATGTAGACATAGTTTAATGGTAATATCTTAATACCCCTCATTTTCCAACCAATTTGTACCCCGGAAATAAGTTAGAGAAACAGGAAAACCACAAGACTTTTAGAGCATTTCAGCAGAAGCAAGGTAAGCCTGTAAAACAGGCCTCAGAAAGAAAGAAAAAAAAAGGGGGGGGGGGAACACACCTATAATTGGGAGATTACTTTCTGCCTGAATGCAGATGTCAACTAGGGGTCCCTCTTGAGCTGAGCTTTGTGTTGCAGCTCTTTCAAGTTCTGCAACAGGGTATGAAAAGCAAAGAATTTGTTCCAAGATGGATACTGTGCATTTTAATTTCACTTGTGCCTTTCAGTCTTGTTTAGGCCCTGCAAGATAACTGTTTCAAAGTAGACTTTTATTCCTTGCTGGTGTTTATATTGATAGATTTATTGTCTAATTCTGCTGTTAATGTAGCAGTTCATTTTTCTTTATTTTAAACTGGACTGTTTCAGATATTCCAAACCAAGTCACATCAGAAACTGCACTGTACCCAGTGATGGGATTCAAATATGTGAACAACCAATTCTCTGTTTGGATGCTGCTTCCGGAAGTCCATTCTGGGCCTGGGCAACAAAAAATTAGCTACTGGTTCTGGCGAAGTGGTGCAAACCGGCTGAATCCCACCACTGACTGTACCCCAGTCATTTTTTGCTGGAAATTTTCAAAAAGCAATGGAATCTAGAAGCTTCTAGAATGTTTTGGTGAACAAAACAGTTTGAAATGTGGAGGATAAATACAATCTAGCTTTTGTACACAGACAGTATTACACTGCTTTATTTTGAGCTTGATGTATGCTCTGGCCTAATAGATATCAGTCATCTACCATTTTGCTATGACAGGGTTTTGTTTCTCTTTTTTCTGAGATAATCTTCCTTAGGGAAAGATGAATTTTTCCTCAGATGTTCTGTCTCTTGAACTTGGTTTCATAAAAAAAAATAGTTTCTCAGATGTGCTTAATCAACTGGAATCATTCTGATTCCTAGCCATCTTAGTTAGTGATTAGAAATTATGGAAGTTGTGGCTTTAAAACACTTCTTAAAGGCACCCTTAGGAGAAAGCTGTTTTAAGATGCAAATTTTGTGAGCTCTTTTTATTGGCATGCATACAGTAGACTACATTTTATGAGGTTGGTTTAGGCTTCTATCACTAAGTACATAGGTAGTCCTTGTTTAACAATTGCTAATTGGGAATGGAAACTAATTATTTAAGCAATGCGGTCATAAGTCAAAAAAGCATATTACCTATCCACATAGCAACAACAGTTTTGGCAGTCCCAGTTGCCATCATTAAAAGAAGCCTGTGCAAGTTGGTAAGTGAGGATGTTATGTGACCATAACTTCCTGCTGGCTTCCCCACTGACTTTGCTTGTGGGAAGCCTGCAGGAAAGCTCATAAATCACTAACACCTGATTGCAGGGGTGCTAAGGATGGCTATATATGTATGAGGTCCATTTACAACTACTGTACTTTGAGCACCATTACAAGTTCAAATGGTTGCTGAATGAGTGGTTGTTGCTGTGAATTAGAAGATTGCTGCTAAGATTGAAACATGGAAAGCTATTCAGAAATACTTATAGTAATTAAGCATTATTATACTGCATACTAGGCCCATCTCTGTCACAATTTTTATACTCCACACTCAGGCTTGAAATATTTTGTATTGCAATGAGATTTTAAGCAATGGACCAAATTCTTACACACCTGGCTGGTTTCCTTTTCAGTACTACTTGGCAACCCAAGGATCTCTTCCTTGTGTAGAAAACTTCTGCCTGTTCCTCAGCTCGAAGGCAAAATTATTTTATATGTTCTATGGGAGTATTTCTGTGATTGAAAATGCATAATGAATTCTATTGTGATTGCTGTTTTAAAAATATTGGCCTAATGGGTTCTACAGTAGCAGATCTCTACTGGGAGACCTAAAGCGATCTCTTTCATGATGTATTGTCTCAATTCCTTTTTAAAGCCTCATTCTCATGCAAGAGGCAGATGATAATGTACACAACACTGTATATGTTTATAGTGACACGCATATTCTAAAGCTTGGGGTATTTGAAGGCATTGGAATTTTACTGCATTTGTCGCCTATAGATAAAAATGGCAATTCCTGTTATTTCAAGCATCTTTTTTCTTCCAGGCATATTGTGCTATGCCAGTTTGCCAGATGCCAAGTACCAGAATAAAACATTTGGAAAGATTACCTTCCTTTTTTATATTTTAAAAAAGAATGAAGCCTGTCAACACTATAAATATCTTACAAATGGAACATGCTTGCTTTTGCCTTGTATAAAGCTTTTCAAATGGACTCAGAGAGAGTCATTAAAGTTTCAGAGACTATATTATTGCATCTTGGTTCTGCTTATGTTTTCCAGGTGCTAAGGAGGTGACTGGAGCTGCTTTTTCATTGTGAGATCATTCTGTCCTGCATGGCTAGCATCAAAATTCTTCTTGCAATATTTCAGCCAACGTAGTTAAGTAGCGATTCAAATGCCTCCTAGCCTTGTGTTGGTAAGTATGAATTTCCAAAATAGTTGAATGAAAATTCTTAAAACATTTTGAATTTTAGGTTTTCTTGCTGACTTAGCCAGACGATTACATATTGCATTTGAAGAATTCAAGCCAACCAGTTAAATGGGAAAATTAGGGTAACAGGCAATCTGATAAGCATTACAAAGTATTCTCTATGACTATTGCTGACAGTACAGGTAGTTCTGGACTTACAACAGTTCATTTAGTGACCGTTCAAAGTTACAGTAGCACTGAAAAAAGTGATCTATGACTGTTTTTCGCACTTATGACCATTGCAGCATCCCCATGGTCATGTGATCAAAATTCAGATGCTTCACAACTGACTCATATTTATGACCGTTGCATTGTCCTGGGGTCATATGATCTCCTTTTGCAACCTTCCGACAAGCAAAGTTAATGGGGAAGCCAGATTCACTTAACAACGGTGTTACTCTCTTAACAACTGTGGCAAGGAAGGTCATAAAGTGGAGCAAAACTCACTTAACAAATATCTCACCTAGCAACAGAAATTTTGGGCTCAATTGTGACCATAAGTTGAGGACTACCTGTACATGGGATAGTTGCAATATTATTATTTATTTTCCAAAACATAATTTTAGCATGCAAAATCCAAACTGGATAGGTCAACAGCATAAGATGCTTTGAGACAGTTATTGCTGATTTTTTTTATCTGAATGAAAGTCTATTTTTTCCTGAACAATTTATACTTAAAATTATCTTAGATTTGTTGAGAATATTTTGATTTGTTTGTAAGTCATATTTAAGAACTGCCCCTCCCTCACACAGAGGGACTCTGGATGGTGTACAGTAAAAATGATAAAAGAAATGACTGGTAGACTAAGTGGGCTTCTTAAATATAGGATTATATTTTGGATAAGTAAAGTGCTTGAAACAAGAGCAAGTCATTACCCCTCAAGATAACCTAATGTACAATTTTAAGGATTCCCTGCTGGTGGCAATAAGGCAGATTCCCCACCTCCTCTCAAAAAGAAAAATTATTATTCACTAAAAGTGCTGTTCAATACAGGTAGTCCTCAACTTACAACAGTTCGTTTAGGGACCATTCGAAGTTACAACAGCACTGAAGAAAGTGACTTATGACCCTTTTTCACACTTACAACCACTGCAGCATCCCCATGGTCACATGATTAAAATTCAGACGCTGGGCAACTGGTTCATACTTATGACGGTTGCAGTGTCCTGAGATCATGTGATCACCTTTTGAGACCTTCCGACAAGCAAAGTCAATCGGGAAGCCAGGTTCACTTAACAGTTGCGTTACTAACTCAACAACTGCAATGATTTGCCTAACAACTGTGGCAAGAAAGGTCGTGAAATGGGGCAAAGCTCACTTAACAAATGTCTCAACCACAGCAGTTTTGTGCTCAGTTGTGGTCGTAAGTCGAGGACTACCTGTATAGCCAGTCGGCGTAGCTCATGAACTGCATCCCATGGTATGAGATGGGATCTCTCCCTTGCAATTTCAGAATTTCCATAGTCCTTAGTTGTCCAACTAATTAATCGATGTTCCTGTCTAGACGTGCAACTTAATAAGAGAAGAGTAGGAAAGTACCAAAGGATTTTTCATTGACTTTATTTCCCACACACAAATAATTTGTCCTACCCCATACAATCTTCCTCACACCCAGCTTTTGTACCCTTGAACAGTAGAGAAGGGAGGGAGGGAGGAATTCAGGGCTTGGGCTCCTACCCGACGATCTCCAAGGCCACGTGCAAGCTGCAGACTATTCACCATTGTCATTGGCTGGAAAAAATAAAGAATACAGGTAGTCCTCAAATTACAATGATAATGGAGCCTGGAATTCCTATTGTATGTCACGACAGTTGTAAGTCGATGTACCCAGATGATTGATTCAATTTTCTGACTTTTTTTGTGGTAGTTGTTAAACGAACACTGCAGTTGTTAAGTGAAACTATTGTTCACAAGTAGATGGTTTTTGGCAAGAAATATAATAATTTGCGACTCTGAGACACTGCACACAGCCATAAAATATGGACTGGTTGCTGAGTAATCACGTGACCGTGGAGTGGGATTGTTGGAACTTCAAATCTGAGTCGTAATATCTTTTTTTGGGGGGTGGGGTCTGTTGCAACTTCAACCGTTGCTAAGTGACCGGTCGTAAGCCAAGGACTACCTGCCTTCTAAACCTGAGCTACCTGCTGCTGTTGAATTGGTTGCATCATTTGACTTACAACATTTGCAGATTTTTAATAGTTGTAAAAACTTTTTTAAAAAAACAAGAAAGGAAACCGCAGAACAGTTAAAGAAGCCTAAATATGCCACATAAGTGTTTGGAAAGTACAGTGTGTATTTTTCATTTGGCAGACTGCGTCGCTCAGAGTCCAAGAGTGGCTGGTAAATCTGGAAAACAATTTCCAAGTTCCCTTCCAAATCCAGCCTTGAAGATGTGGACCGGGGTTGTGTTTTCCCTGTTGCTTCCTTTATGTCTGTCCGATCATGGGAATTCCATTTTAAAAGAGAGTGGTGCTGAAATAGCACACATATACCTGCTCAGTAATGAAAAGCATTGTGAACAAGCCTGTAAAGGTTCAACAGATGCAGGTCAGTCTACCAATCTTCATCTTAAAAGTTTTTCTCGGGAGATGTAATGTCCCCACCACTTTCCATTGTTGTAATCATTGTTTCTATAAATGATAACTAAATTATTTTATACTGCTTTAGTTGGATAGGAAACAAAACATTGTTTTCCCAGGGAATGTCGATTCTACAAGGGCTCAAATATAGAGCCGCTTGTGTGCATTCCACTTGTTTAAACAGTTGTGTTACATTGGTTATTTATTTATTTATTTATTTTTCATAATTTATATGCCGCCCTTCTCCCCACGGGACTCAGGGCGGCTCACAGCATATTAAAATAACACAATACAAACAACACACACAACATTTCCCCTATAAAAGCCAATTAAAACCAAATATTTGTTAGCCTGCTCTCTAACCAGATGGTTCAAACTTTGATAAAGGTTCATATCTTTTTGTCTCCCTTTTACTAATATTTACCATGTTGCAAAGCCCTTAAAATCAAAAGTGACCTTGGGTTCAGAAGTCATTCCATCCAGTTCTATGTAAAATAAGGATGGTTCAAACTTTGATAAAGGTTCATATCTTTTTGTCTCCCTTTTACTAATATTTACCATGTTGCATAGCCCTTAAAATCAAAATTGACCTTGGGTTCAGAAGTCATTCCATCCAGTTCTATGTAAAATAAGGATTTCTATTGTTAAATCAACCCCGACAGAGATCTAGCTTCTTTTGTTCTTTCTATAAAGCCTTTTGGGAAACAATGTTGACACATTGTTAATTCCATGTCTACTGCTGTAATTCAGCTCAGTAGCCCACAGACTCCAGAAGATGGTAGAGGACAGGAAGACCTGGAGGAACATTGTCCATGGGGTTGCGATGGGTCGGACACGACTTCGCAACTGACAACAACAACAAGCCCACAGATAGGCAATTGTCTTCTCACAATGTTACAGCAATTTCTCCAGTCACTCTTCATACCTTTAATTCTGCTCCTTTTCAAGTTCAATTGCCCGCAATTGTTTGCTTTTTCCATCCCACGATGTGTCCTTCTGCAGACAGTTGTTCAGACTAGTTAGTCCAATGTTACCTGTTTCCACCACATTTTTCTAGTTGGAAAGTAAAAGATACTACGGACATTTGCACAAAATAATATTTTGATCATTTTATCCCTGGCTGAAGTGCAGAACAGACATGTCCTTTTGGCTATATTTTCTATTTTCCTCTCTTTAGTTAGATAATTAGGGGGACATTAAATAGCTTATTCAGTGCCAAATTCCTTGTATTGTTTAACATGGAAGGCTTACTGAAATGTTATAACTAATATCGCAGTAGACATTTTCCTGAATAGCATTTGCTTATAAATAAGCTTATAGAATAGAATAGAATAGAATAGAATAGAATAGAATAGAATAGAATAGAATAATCTTAATCCTAAGGAAGATGTTTAGTGGTTAAATATAGTGTGATGTTTGTGGGAACTCTATTTTAATTCCAGTTCCAAGTAATTTGCTGAAATAAAAAGGCCTCAAAAAGATTTGGGGAAGAAACAAATGAAAAACTGAAAGAGAAATGAATAATAGTCATTTAACTTTGCTAGAGTATAAATAAATCCTTGTTTCAGGAATTCAGCCCTCCTTACCCTGGGTTTCGGCCTTAGAGTTTCTATCATCCCTGATCCTTTCCATGCTGACTGGGTAATTGGAACTGTACCTCAAAGCATCTGGGAGGGTCTAAGTTGGCAGTTACTTGTTTTTCTATACGTTGTTTGATTTACTCCAAATGATGTTATTTCTTTACGATTCACCAGATAATCCTTACTGCTGGTCGGTGCTGTATCAGAGCCACTGTGTCCTTCTCCGCTGTCCTCAGCTGAGTGCATGTCAGAATACCAGCAGACAAGATATTAAAGAGCTAATGGGAGGTAATATGGATTTAGCAGAATATTTTTGGTTTTAATAATAATTTATAACAAGTAAATTACAATTTTACAAGAGTCTTATATTTACCATTCTTATATTTTTGGAGTTTAAAAGTGGCTTCAGCAGATCACTACATACTTTGACCGAAGTGTAATAGGCCTTGTATGTTGTGATCACAGGCTCTTTTAGGAACTGATGTTAAAAATGTATCTCCATATCACCTAGGCATAATAATTGATTGAACTGATTTCAAGTTAAAATATAAACAGTCAAGTATAATTAAAACAACTGGAGCTGAAGGAAGTGGGAAATATCCTGGAAAAGTGATCTTCTGAAACAATAATTTCCAGCTATAGCAGAAATGTCTGGGCAGAGGATTCCATAATTTGACTTCTATATTTAAAAATCCCTTTCCTTTTTTCATGAACTGAATTTATGCTGAAGTAAGAATATCAAAAGTTGTATTCAAGCTGCAGTACTTAAAACTGAGTCATGAAATTTCAATTATGACATGTATTGAGGATTTTAGTTCCTGTCCTCATTTTTCTGGTTTAAAGTTCAGCTTCTCCCCTTTTAAAACAAGCACAAAAATAGGATGAAGTTGTATATACTATTATGCCTAATATTTGCATTATTACAAGAATTTTCCCCTCATATGCCATATATCTACTTAGATTAATTTCACTATAGATAACAATATAGCCACTCCTCTAGTGTCTACCTCGGTTAGTGACCATTTGCAAATATGGCCGTAATAAATAATAGTAAACAATAGTAAAAAATCATTTTCTGACCAATACATGCATTTACAACCAAAATTCTGCACCCTGAAAACAATGCATGCCAGTATGAGAGTCTCATTGGCATAGCTGCATGAAAAAACTGTATGAGTGAGACAGCAGTAATAAGCGATCTTCACATTGTCTCTCTCTTTCAATCACATGGTTTGCTGGAAATACTTTTGTGGTCTTTAAACGAGGAGAAAGTGCAGTCAATATTTATGAGTGGCAAAGGGAATGGGACCTGGATACCCTAACCTGCAGTCACTTCAAGAATCTAGAGCAGTGGTTCTCAACCTTTTTAATGCCGCGACCCCCAACCGGTCGTAAGTCGAGGACTAAACCGGTCGTAAGTCGAGGACTAAACCGGTCGTAAGTCGAGGACTACCCAACCAGTTGTAAGTCGAGGACTTTCCCTGCCCAGGAGCGCCGCACATGCGTGGTTCCGCCCCCTGCGCCGGCCAAGGCGTAGCTGGCAAGCGGCAGAGACAGAGCAGGCCGACCACCAGCTGGCCCAGCTCAAGGGAGGTAAGGCACCCGCCGGAAAAGGGAAAAAAATGGCGGACAGCCTTGCTTGGCGACCCCCATGAAATGGTCGATCGACCCCAAATGGGGTCGCAACCCATAGGTTGAGAACCGCTGATCTAGAGTTTGCTGGCTAAATGGGCTAAATAGTATGGATCTTTTTCCATTTAAGCACATTCCTCCCCCAGTTTGTTCTTTTAAAATGTCTTTCTCTCAAACATTTAAATGAACTGAATTATAATTTTCATATCATATGTGCTTTAAGCATGAACATCAAAAGGAAAAGCAACCGGTGTCCCAAGAATTATTCCTCATGAACTATCTAAGGATATCCCTTTGTTCCAAACCCTCAGTTAAGGTATTTGAAAAAATACACTAGGAACAACAGAGGCCTCAGCTCCAACAGGACCTCTGGTATGTTTGAGAAGCATTTTGCAAACAGGGAGGCACAACCATATTTGTGGGGAGAACTCCCAAAATACTATTATTATTAAACCTCTATGCCATCCGACTCTCAACAACTGAACATGAGGAGTTTTAAAGTTCTATTGCCCTGTGCTCTGCCTCAGGCAAGAATAACCTGGTTGTTCCTGATCATTGTTTGCCTTCAAATTAATGACCTATTGAATGTTCTGCCAGCCACCTGTGGGTGAAAATAGCAAATTTTAGAATAGCAGCTATTTGTACACACCTGACTTTTTCATCAAAGCTATCTGTTTTGTAAATGCATAGTAGTCCTTGCCACCTGTTTAGGTAAAAAAGATGATTTACGGGGCCAGTTATTAAAAATATCCCCAATATTTATTTATTTCCTTAATGTATAATATTATATGTAACTATATTAAAATGTTCATTTCTTCCTTATTCACCAGAATTGCACCCAAGCAGATTCTAACATTAAAATTTCTAAAGTACATTAAAAAAAGCAAAAATGATATAAGAAATAATATAAAAAATAGAAAGGTACCTGAACCTATAGGTATAGTATACAGTACAATCAATTCAAAAGTTCACACATCCAAACAGGTAGGTGTGCAGTGGCTGGGATTTTCTGGAATTTTCATTCATAGTAGGCGAATTGGGGATGAGTCAATTATCTTTTATGTACCATTCTTGAATCTTGTCTATTGAATCTTGTCCATGAACATTTTTGTTGAAGTTCTGATTATGGGTCTGTTTTTTGCTTTTTAAGAATTTGTGAGTCGTAAAAGAAGAGAACATGATGCATCCCATGAGATAAATAATACAGGAAATGTGAATAAAGAGTTAGATGTACTGAAGAGTACCGAATCAGTTAAGAAACCCACTGAAGTGCCTCTTTTATTAATATCAAGGACTATAATGGGAGCTGCTGCACTCAACTCAACAAACAATGCCAGTTTAGCAAAACAAAATACTTCCAGTTTGACAACAACCACTACCAGCCTTGTGAACACTAGTGTCTCCCAAGATGTTGCAAGATCAACAGCTATAACCAATATTAGTAACAGCATGACTAAAACCCAGAATAATTCAGCTGCTAGTGTCCTAAATAACACCCTAAATATTCCAAGCAGCCATCCTTGGTTAACTCCCACAAAAGGAGCAGACAGTACTACTGACATTGCAAGTACTACAAAAGCAAAAGGGACCTACGAGAGTAAATTAATATCAGGAGTACCTGAGAAAACAATATCAACCGAATTGCTTCCCAGAACGATGACTACCGCTAGTTTGACTACAATAGCAACTTATCCAGTGCTTCCCACAACTAGCATTCCTGCACCAGTTAACGTTGGAAATGGCTCTCAGTCAGCGGTAAACTCATCTACAGTTGCAGCCACCCTCAAGCCGCCAGCATCAACAGCCAAAAGCACGATTCATACAGTTGCAAGTACAACAATGACAGCAACTTCTGCAGTAACAATAAAGTCAGCTGAATTCACAACAGTTGCAACAGATAGGATAAAGCCTACTTCAAATAAAGTAATTCCTCCTGTGTTTACTAAAGCTGCTAACATCACCACTCCACAGCAAATACTTTCTACTAGTCAACCACTGAAGGGGACAACATCTGTACAACCCTTGTCAATACTCACAAGTACAAATCCAAAAATGTCATCCAAACCAACAAGTACAATACAAAGCAAAAACCAGAAAGATGCAGATGGAGAAAACAGCTTTCGGCAAGTAGACGTCAGTTTGCTCTTAGCAGTGCTTCTGTTTGGTGTTCTGTTCTTTGTAACAATTGTCATCTTATTTGCCATACAAGCCTATGACAGCTACAAAAAGAAAGACTACACTCAAGTGGACTACCTGATCAATGGGATGTATGCAGACTCAGAGATGTGATGAAACCTATGTAGTTTCTGATGTGAAAGCAATAGAAATGAAAAGAAATACAATACCCATGCACACAAATAGATATCTGAATCTATATATGAATGAATACGACTTTATTGGGGCAAGTAGAAAGCTAAAGGTGGCTTGTCGTTCAGTTCTCTGTTTTGCCTATAAGACCACCTGAAAGTGCTTCCAAATTACTTTTCATGCAATGAAGGAGAAATGCCATGTATCATGCTTTTAAAGTACTTTTTAAAAAAACCTCACAGTTAAAAGGTGCCATTAATGTATTATTTCTCAAGCTACAGTATTGCTTCTGTTGTGCTAGTTTTGTCTGCTAATGCAAAGGGGTGTTGATGTTGCAAGTCTTCCCAAATGGTTTCTTCCTGATTCCTGAGATTCTGTTCATCCCCTATTTACTCCTATACAACAAATGGAGAAAAGGTGTTTTTTTTTTTTTACGTGCCAATTTTCCTGAAACTTCCAGCTGGCATGAAGACTGTTAGCTGTTAATTACAAACAAATGGCCAAGGATTAGCAGCACTAGCATAAGTGGAACAGTACAAAAGAGTGCCAAAATCTTTTGAGACCCTTTCCTTAGGTATGATATTCTTCATTTAGGTACGTTTTAAAACCATCCTGGAATTGCTAAGCATTCTCATTGCTTTATCCTGGAGGCAATATTTGTTATAAGGTTAGAAAAATTAATTGTTAAAAATGTATTTACCACAGTCTGTTTAATGCTATACTATTTCCTAATCATGTTGTTTCTGCACCTTTTATATGATTTTATTTTTGTATCCACTCACTTAAAAATTGAGGCCTGGAGTCAATGTCAAGGTTTGTTGGCTTTGTTTCTTCCCTCCTTGATGTCTGTTTCTCACAAGCATTTGTATAACATGAATTCACATGGTGACGCCATTATTTTTCTCCAAAGCTCTTAGGATCTTCTTCAACTTGATCAAACCATTCACAATCATTTCCTTTCAGTAAATTTTTCCAAATTCAAAGTCTCTTGGTTCCAGTGTTTTGCATATGACTTCTTATATGAAAGTATATTACCGGTAGTTTGTATTTTAACAATACTTGTAAAGATGGACACATGAGGAGGCTTAGTACTTCTTTTAAACCTCCATCCTTTTCTAGATCCATTCAGAAAGAAAACATTGCCCCTGCATGAGATCTTTTGTTGATCTTTTGTATTTTGCTGTACACATTTACATCTTCAGTTGCCAAAGATAATGGAATAATTGAGCCTTAAAAAGTTACCTTAGTGAGGAAACTAGCTAGACAGATTGTCATGAACTAGAGATTGCTTAAAACCTCTGCCAGGAATCTCTAAAGAAGCAAAGTACAATTATCTAGATTGCATAAATCCAATAGCAATTGTCCAGATGTTTGCTGTCTATTTAGGGGAGCTTAACATTTCCTGATTTGCTTGAAGTTAGTGATTTGAATTTTCCAAAATCCTAAAAATTTGTCTGTAAAATTCCAAGGGTGGATATGTGTAGAATGACCTACTAAAGCATTAGAGTTTTGAAAACATTAAAGTTACGTTTAATTCCACAAGAAATGAGAGTCGGCTGAAAACCTTATAGCGTATTTTTAGTTTTTCCCAATAGGACAGAATGAAGGGTGGTAGATACTACTGTACATTCTCAGTAGGCTTAAGAAAAAGACAGGAAGAGGAAAGATGAAAACAGCCACTGCCACCTTTTGAAGTTTCTTTGCAGGTGACCATCTCTGTGCACCAAACTTAGGGGAGACCTCCCATCGCTCTGCTTAATTTGTATTTTCAAATGTTTCTTGCATCTCTAGAAATGAGCCAATAGGGTGTGCTGTTGAGCTGTTCATGAAACACAATTCCATCTTTGGACTGTGTCCGAGGACTTCCAAATCTGAGCTCCCCTCATTTCTCTGATGCTGCTGCTCTTATTTATTTAGCCAAGACTTCTATTCTGCCACCATAAATCTTTATAAATTATGTTTGAATTAGCCATACCCTACAGTTGCAGTGAGAGAATCCAATGTCCTGCTGACCCCAATTAAAATAAACTATTTAGATAGGAATGTACAGCTATTTTAAAAAGACATAAATGGCCAATGTTTACATACATGCTTTGCTCAGTATCAAAAACAGATCTATTATGCTGGGGCAGGCAGAATTATTAAAATATAATTACATGTGTTTAGACTACCACCCATCTTCCCCAGCCTAAATAAAGTGCTTAAGGATCAGGGAGATTCTGGTTCAAGCTGACCTTCAGCCATAGAAACTTACCCAGTGACTTTGAGCTAGTCATTCTCTTTCATTCCAGCCTATGTCTGGTAAAATGAAGACAGATCACAATACAAGACACCTTTGAGCTTCTGGAGGAAAAGTGCCATATAAATTAACAAATAAGTTGACATTTTAAATTTCATTAGTAAAAAGGCTCGATTTAAATCAACTCGATTTAAATCATAATTTTTAAAGAGCAACTGTCATCTCTGTCCCATTCACTTTAATGAGACGGCTGGTGGTGCAGCAGTGACACAACAAGGTGAGGGACGTGGCGGGCAGTAGGAGAGTGAATGCCCGCTAACAGGCGCTGCCATGATGGATCTGAAATGACAGGTGCTCTTTAAATGTAAGGACTCATTCTTGCTGGTAATTGGAATCTTTAATATTATTATTTGCAAACAAAATGAAGGTTTCCTATTTAGAATAATAAGCTGTCAGGTTAGTAAAACAGCGATATCAGAAGCGATTTTAGGTTAATAGGTTAATCACACATAGTTGGAGAACTACTCAAATTCTTTTAAGATTAAGATTTAAGATTTAAGATTTATTTCATTTATACCCCGCCCTTCTCCCGGAGGACTCAGGGCGGCTTACAGCCAGTTAAAACAATTATACAAAATACAAATCTAAGATAAATTAAAAATAAATATTCGAATCGGCCGCACTACTAAAATTCAATTAAAACCAATTTAAAATTTCCCCTAGGCCAGTCCTGCCTGCTG